GAAGATAGGAAGGAGAAATGCTTGTCTCCAATGTTGACTTTTTCAGTCAAGCATTTTTCATTCATCGAGAGGGAGATACATAGAAGTATTTTATTTTTGGTTTAGTTTTAATTGTTGTAATAAAGAAAAATGAAAAATAAAATAATAAGAGGAAAATTTGTCATTATAAAAAAATTTAAAACATTTTGGACCAAACTCACAACAAAATGAAAATTTTGGACCTCTGTTGCTACTCCTCCAATCTTGTTTGGACCAAAATGACAATTTTAAGCTAACCACAAGGACCATTCTTGCAGTTTTGTCTAACCATTATTTTGTTGAGATTTCCATAAATGGGTTGTGATTTAACCTTTATGGGCTGCATTTTGTATGGCCCCGACCAAGCCCCGTGTGTTTAAACCTTAAGAAAATTTTTAAACCTCATTTTCACATTTAATAGTTTTAGGAGTAATTAAACCTTAAGAAAATTTTCAATCTCATTTTCACATTTCCTAACTATAGTATTTCTCTTAGATGACAGAATAAAATTTATCTTCTTCAAATTTTACAAGTTATCTAGTCTTTCCTTATTTTGATTTGATTTGTATAAGTTATGCTTAAAAAATAGATCACATAATCGTTCTTACAAAATTTTGTAGTCTATGCTTTGAAGTTATACCTCATTCTTTAAAAGGTTGTCCATCGCATCCAAAAATTAGGAAATAGCAAATGTTATTATCCATTTGCATTATACAAGCCTCCAATGCATACATCATGCATCAACGACTTGTATAATCGCATATTGGTATGTCATTTGTTATTTCATCTCATCTTATGTATTAGACTTAACTTTATGTTTGAAAAGCTTGTACCTTATACTTTTAAAGGGTATACTCTCACAGTCAACTATTTAACGAATCGGAAAAGATATATCTAAAATAACAGTCAACTATCAGAAATAAAAAAAACTAAAATAACAAATTTACCCTCACAAATCACAGTAAAGTTCGGATTTAGGTTTTAATTGGTCATTAAAGTTTATTTTGGAACTCTGGCCCCATCAAAGTCGAAAATTACCTGCTAAGGTTACCCAATAAAAGTTGTTGTTGACTTGTATTATTGATTCTAGGTGTGTGCCTATTCAGCTTCATACACAAGCTACTAAACGGTTGAAGAGATCACATCTCACAACCTTGTTCTCTCTTACAATTTCTTCTAAGAATATCTAACTTATTTGAATCATCTATAAACTTTGCCATTTATCGTGTCAATGAGAATCCTCCATGCTTATGAATAAACCGATATCAAAGCAAAGAGAAGCATTTAAGGCTAATAATCCAACTCGCCGATTCTATAACTGTTCAAAATCAATGTTTAGCTTACTCTGACATGCTACTCTTTCTTTATAGTCGATTTGTGAAAGCATTTTGCCCAAATAGTCTAGGTTTTTGTATAGAAAGCCATCATTTTGGTCGAAAAGCCCTAACTTATGAACAGTAAACCTTGATTATGAGGTTGATTATTTATTTTGTTGAAGGTAACAATATTTCGATGTTCATATTTGTGTATATAAACCCATAAATCAATTGATCATTGCATTTAGTTTGCAACCTCATTTAGCTAAAAAAAACCTAATATGTGTTTGTTTTGTAGATATTAGACGATAGTTACAAGTTTTTCAAGTGCATAGACCCACCTTTACCTAAACACTATAAGGATACCATCTGGAATATAAACTGAGGATTAATGACTTATCGTGTAGCACTAGTCAAGTGACTACACTGTAGAAGAAGGTGGAGAAGCACAAATGTCTTATAACTACTGCGAGTAAATAAGTTGATGCTCGTATCTAAGAATTGCTAACTGAAGTTGAAACTCTGAAGAAAAAGATGTAAAAGAATATGATGATTGGCATGGTTTGTCTTTTGGTTGTGTTTCTATATATAAAGTTGTTTTAGGGTGTCCATGTAGTTGTTGATGAAGTTCGTATATATTCTAGGAAGCTTTTAAGCTGGTTTTCAGATTGATGATTTTTAGGAAATGTACTTTTTTGGGAATGTATAGGTTCTAGGAAGGTTATGTATTTCAAGATGTATTTAGGCAATGTACTTTTGGGGAATTGTGTTTTGTTAATGACTATTTCCATTATTTAATGTATATGCATGTAATTTTGTTACAAATTCCATTACTTTATGAATTGTTATTCTTTGCATGGTCCATAATGTACATAATTTACTTATTCATATACATTCATGGTGTTTGTCAAAAGATGCATGCAGGTGACATGCTTTTACATAGTGTGATCTACCAAGATAAACATAAGGGACAAAAAACAAAGATTTCTACACAAGACAACTTCATACTTTGTGATAATGCACATGCAAAAGCAGACAATAAAAAGGACAATACAATAATATACAAGTCACTACAAGCCATTACATATAATAAGGATAATAGAATATTTCAAAAGTTGGCATACCAACATGTTTCTTAGTACAATAAAAATTTGTCATTTAATTCCACAATACATTAATCCCCATGCACTCCCATGCATCATACATTAATTTAAATTAACATGTTTTTCTTAAGTGTCCCCCTCTCCATTCTTTCCTATAACTTGTTTTGCCAATTTGCCCTTAATGATCCTTTCACTTATTTTTCTCCTGATAACTTGTGAAATTTGTCCATTACTCATCTCCAATGTCACTTGTGTAGTCTCACTCTCCATTGTCACTTATGTAGCCCTACTCTCCATTATAACTTGTGTATCCTCACCTTCTATTCCACTGCCACTTCCGCTTACCATTCCAGTTTCCATATTTGACCATATCATGCAAACATAATACATAATTATTTAACACATACCTATTAATAAATAAGAATCTAAAGTGGTAGATACATATGTTGTCTTAGTCCTATTAACCCTCTTTGATGGTAACTTTACTGGTCTTGGTCTGTCAAGTGTTGGATATGTCTTCTTTTTATGAACTTCCCCATTGCACAAACTACATAATATATTCTTACCTTTCTTTGACGCTCTATATTTTCCCACTTTTTCACTCATATCTCTTACTCTTTTTGTTTTGGGTCTTCCATACATCCTTCTATTTTTGGGGTAAAGGTCAGATATAGGTAGTTTCAGGCCACATATTACTTCCATTCATGTGGAAAAAATGAACTATTAGGTTTCCATACATATTTCCCTAGTAAAAAGTAGATCCACATACATCTCCATATTTTTTAATTTTATTTAGATAGTTAATGGAATCCACAAAATGAACACACCCATAACCATTAAGTTACCATAGCCTGTATGAGCATGTTCTCTTCTGTAGATCTACATCATAGGCTTCACTTCCTGAACTAGTCTCAAACTGGTGGAGTCCACTTGGCAATACCTCCCAAAAACTTTGATTAATCTTCAATTCATTCAACTTCAGTCTTACTTCAGGTGAAACATCACGCGTCCATCCTTTTAGTTTTGATTTGAACAATTTGTCCATCATATACATCCTTAATTCCTCAAGCATTATGATTACTGGTTTCTTCCTGGCTTCAATTATGATTGTATTGAAACTTTCATATGATCCATTCTCCACATCATCACAACATCTACAAAGTTGATAGTATGCTATTAACCATGTTTTAGGGTCCTTGTCCATCAAGTACTTACTGTTGGATCAACATACATATCCATATTTTTATTTAGATATCTAATGGCATCCACAAAATGAGCACACCCATAACCGTTAAGTTACCATAGCATGTATGGGCATATTCTCTTCTCTAGATCTACATCATAGGCTTCACTTCCTGACCTAGTCTTAAACTGGTGGAGTCTACTTGGCAATACCTCACAAAACCTTTGATTGATCTTCAATTCATTCAACTTCAGTCATACTTCAGGTGAAACATCACGTATCCATCCCTTTAGTTTTGATTTGAACAATTTGTCCATCATATACATCCTTAATTCCTCAAGCATTATGATGACTGGTTTCTTCCTAGCTTCAATTATGATTACATTGAAATTTTCATATGATCCATTCTCCACATTATCACAACATCTACAAAGTTGATGATATGCTCTTGACCATGTTTTAGGGTCCTTGTCCATCAAGTACTTACTGCTGGACTCAATGCCTCAATGTCCTTCATTACTACCTTGAAAGCTTGTTTTGTTGTTGAATTATAGGCAGACCAAAACAAATTAGCAAATTCTTCCCCTGGAAACCTTTTACTAAAGTTGGACACAATGTACCTTGAATATTGCCTATGCTCAGTTTGGGGTAGCAATCCCTTCACAACATCCATAAGACCCTGTAACAAGATGTAATTTAGTTAGATATAAATAACAAACTTTGTGAATGAGAAGGCATCAAATAATGATTACCGTACCTTGTGTTGGTCAAACATAAGAGTGAAGCCTTCTCCAACACTCAGATTGATATTGACACTTACCAAAGAAAGAAGCCATTTTTAATTTTCCTTGTTTTAACACAAACAATTGCCTAAGCAATTTGTTATATTTAGTCCCCTAGCATCTTTCCCCACAACATATAGCAATTCACAAGAAATGTAACCTTTCAAAAAGCAACCATCAATCCCTACCACCCCTTCTTCACACCATCAAAAAAATATAATACTTACTAAAGTAATTTGTACCATCTGGCATTGTAAGTACATCCATCCTGACTATTGAATTGGGGTTTGCTCTTTTAATCTCCTCTCCATCATATCAAAGTTTAGCATACTTATCAACAAGAGTACATTTAATAATTTCATGTCATGCATCTTGGCCCTTCTGTACTAACTTAAAGTAACATCATTACAAAATTTCTTTATGACCTCCAATCTCAATTGCCTAATTATGAGTTTTTGTCTATGTAAAATCTCCTTGGCGTAGTGTCCACCTTTCCATTAGTAAGTGACAACTGAACCTAGTATGTAGTTCCTAGCACATTGATGGTCAGGTTTTAGTGATTTGATATGAAAAGAGTGTTCTGTACTCATCAACTTGCCTACAGCATGAAGGTACAAGCCCCTTTACAACACAATACTATAAGTCTTTTACCGTCATTCTTTTCGAAACATAGCTTGTATCCATGCTTAACAACATAATTAGATAGCATGCTCTTAAGCCGTTTAGGGTTCTCAAATCTCATACCCAGAATTGGAACTTGCTTTTTCCAGTGTACCTGGGGATTGAAGATAGAATGTTCCACAACATATTCATTCTCTTTCTCCTCACTAGTATCCATCTCTTCACTCTCTTTCCCTTCTGGACATAACTTGTTAACGAGTTCATCATCTTTAACCTTGTTAAGAGGGGTAAAATCATTCGGTACTATTTCATCTACCAAACCAGCATCAAACATATAAGCTGGATAGGCTTAGAGGTTATCTCAAATCCATCATATTTATCATCCCCCTAGATCATTGTACCAGTTTCATCACTTTCTTCTTCCATCTAGTACTCAAATCCATCCCCAATATGATCAAAGTCTCTTAAAAGCTTCTCCAATAAATTGTTCCTGAAAAGCGCAACACCTTTCTAGATCCATTCCAACAAAATCATGGTTTGTAAACATGAATGTATCACATCTAGCATATGTATATCGGTATCTTATAAAAACAGCATTAAAGTGCAAATGCACTTTCAAATAAATAGCATCAGGGTTTTCGTTATCCATGCGCTTCACCTATGTCTACAAGTGTTACTTCAAAATGACCTAAGCTCAGAGAAAACTTACTTGTGTTTGGAGAGAAAACCGTAGCTTCACTTCTGCCCTTCAACAATTGTAGAGGAAGACGAAATTTGTAGCTCATATATATTGACCTTTATCGAATCTTTTAATTAATCCATAAACACATGGTATTGGGTACATGTCATTTAAGCCGGTCAACTAGATGTCAAAGTCCATGTCACCATTTTTTATCATATACCATTTCATTTCTTTCAAAATGGTATAATTGACATGTAATTTCAATTTTAATGGGGTAAGAGTTACAAAATAAACTTTAATGGCCAATTAAAACAAAACCCAAACTTTACTGTGTTTTTATGTGAATAACTCTTCAACCAAAGAAAATAGAAGATGTGTTTATATCTGCAATCTTGTGATTTTTTTTCTTTTTTAGAATTTAGTCTCAAATCTTAATTGCTCGGGCTCCCTTGACGAAATCTCAGCTCACGAAGACAATATCACAGCCTATTTTCAGAAATCGCAATGAAGCTTACCTTCGATTTTAATGACTTTTGGGTCTTTTCTTAGTTTTTTGGCTATTCAAAAAGAAATTAAACTAACTTTGTCTTTTTCCATATATAAAATTCCAAATTCAAAAATTTGTTAATATGCACTATTATTATTGGACAACATATCGGCGTACACCTACGGTTCTAATATAAACCGGCCAAATTACTATGCACCAACTCCATTTTTTTATAGTTCATCATTGTCGCCCTTCTTTAAATGACCAACGCCTCACCTAATTATAAACTTATCTTTCTATCTACACACTTGAATTGACAAATATATTCTCACAGATAAACTCTGTCCAGAAATACCTTTTATTTCCCATGTACTTTGTCTCACACCTCAAACTATCAATTGGTTGGCTTCCTTTTCATCCACATGGTCATGTTTTGTTTTTTTTCACCTTAAAGAGCCATTTTTGTTTGAAGAGGTCCAATCAACAAAGAAACAGCAACACTCAACAGCCTATATTGTAACTAAATGTTAGATGTACCACATTTTTTAGTTTTGTACACAACCATTCATATTGAGAAAACATGTCCAAACCCCCTTCAAATCCATCAACTCCACTAATTAATGGTTGAAACAGAACCCCTACACTTATATAAATAAACAATCATATAAGTAAAACCAAATACAACGTTGTTTAACTGCGAACAAAAGTGTTTTCAAGAATTGGATTTTGAATCTCCATCCATAATAATAATATATCCTAAATCTGTCCAGTAACTACCAAAAACGAGACTGTTTAGTACTAAAACTTCCCTAAATCAAAATGTTAAAACTCAAAGACAAGAAGAAGATGGTGAAGTACAGAAATAGACCAAACTACATTCCACTAGAAGAGAAAACCACCTGACTACATAAAATAAGAAAAATAAATCCAGAACATAAACAAGGAAGATTGAGAAAAAAAAAAAAAAAAACTAAGCACACAGCACTAGCAGGTCTAGCATATTCATATAGCTTAATAATTAATCATGTATCAACATGAATAGCCTGTCCGACTGTTGGCTCATGGTGACCCTCTTGGAATACCTTTGCAATTTTCTCAATTGGAATCAACGGTAGATATTGGGCCACCAGATAACCTTTCTCCGCCGTGAAACACACAACATAATTGTACTTCTCCGCCACAAAAGCGGCTGTGGGAACGGCTACTTGAGCCACCTGTGGGAATATTGGGAGTTTATGCATTGACCTCCAGGCTGACACAGCGTACTTCTCGGCTACTGGTTCGTAGCTTTTGTAGAGCTCCTTGGCTGTCGGCTCGTATTTTATGTACAGTGTATTAGCCGTCTTTCTCGCCGTTTTGAATGCCTCTAAAGCCAAATCTCTAGCCACCTCTGGGAAATTATTAGCCACGTACTTGGCTTGGCTCGGCGCCTGTTTCATCGACGCGGGGACGTGCCGATTCAGCTCCTTCAACGCCTCGTCTACCTGCACAACACGACACCGCCAACCGACTGAGCTAAGAGTTATTTATGATATCAGCTACCTACTTTAAGTTTATTACACTTCGACCCCTTGAAAATATTGCAGCTTGTCTTATTAACTTTATATTACACCAATCAAAACGAAATATCACTTTCAGCTGGGGAATATCAACACCTGCTTTACTGATGAAGATGCAAATGTTGAAAAGGAAAACAAATACCTTTAGATCAATGAACTTAAGGAGCTCATAAGGAACGTCGTGAAACCTCTCGCAAACCGGTCCGATGACAGTTTTAACGGTGCTTTCGACAGTATGAACACCGGGCTTCAATGGACCGGCGTTCTCTTTGGCGTATTCGTAAACAGTCGAAAAGCAAACAACGAAATAGATCACCGCGCTTTGCACAAAATCGAGATACTTCAGATGCTCTTCTCCCCCATCCCTCGGTACCTTCAATTTCAAAATCGAATAAATTCACAATCAGACGAAACTAAAGAAAATTACCAAGTTGAAAACCCAGATCTGATCAGAAACATATAGAGAATTCATACTGAATAAAATTTTCATCCGATACCAGAAGTTGTTTTCTACAGCAAATCAACATATGAAAATTCCAGATTAACGACCATCCGTGTTTGTACTTTTTAGAGAACACACGAAATCATACTGAAATCAATTGATCATTCAGCAAAAGAAGCTAATTTCTAGACATCTACTACAAGTTTTAAGGTAACATCGTCGTCGTCGTTTAAACAGCAACATACGGAAAATCAAATTAACTCACTTTGTAAAAAAAATGTTGCAAAAGAATTGGCTTACCAGAGGCTCAGTCGGTTGATTGGCTTCAGATTCCGCCATGATCTTCAAGAAGAGAAGCTTCGAGAGCGTTTGACGGAAATTTCTGTAATGAAAATGACGAGAAAAGAGGTACAGGACTAACGGCAACCAATGCTATGATAACAGCTTTTATACGGGCGGACCGGATCTAGTGCGGAAAATTCGAGAAATGTCGGGTTTAAAATCAAAAACCCAACTCCTATCGCATCTTCAGATGGTTACACGTGTCATATGATGACGGTTGGTTTAACCTTCACAATAAAACAAAAACAAGTTGCAAAATTCAAAAACCAGTAAAGATAATCAAAGAATCAACTTTTTTTTATATATTTTTTGTGTTTTATTATATTATGTTTTTTTTATTTTATCAAATACAATATTATTTGATATCGTCCTTAATTTTTGTTTAATAAAATGATTAAATTATCTTTTTCTTTTATAATATAGTTTATAAAACTATTTTTTATTTAATTTATTATTTTAAACATGATAGTTATAAAACTAAAGTTTATAATCTTGTCTTTTCTAAACAAATAACTATATGGATATATGTTGACGCAAACCACAAACTTCAAGTTATTTTTGTTGAAAAATCATTCGGGTTTTATGATTTAGTTCAAGTTTTTTCAGGTTGAATTTTTTATTAAAACAAAATCATACGAATCAAAATCAAATGACTTTTCTACGCGCACAAAAAAAAAAAAAAAAAAAAAAACTAAATTAAATCATAAAAACAGAAAGCGAATGGAATTTACTGATTATCATTAACATAGATTGATATAATTGTATGTTTATAGAATTATAAATATTATAAATTTAGACATATTTGTTAGGTTATATATATATATATATATATATATATATATATATATATATATATATATATATATATATATATATATATATAAAGTCAAAACTAAGAGATTAACAATAGAAACAATTTTATATTTGAATAAACTAAAACCATTTTACCCACCAATGATCATTTTGCAAGCATTGAAAGATTAAAACAATCATAGAAAAGAAAAGATTTGTAACGACGTAAATTTTCAACCAAAATTTTCATTTTTAAAACACAATAAACCACAAGTCGCATTTTCTTAAAACTCACAAGTAAAAAATTATCAACACATTTTAAAAATCGTTTATCACAAATCCAGAATCCTCCAAAGACATATCTCCAACTCGGATGTGTGTACAATCAAGCCGACACCTTTCCGCGATCCTGATAAAACCTGAAATACATAATACATAACAAGGTAAGCACGAAGCTTAATAAGTTCCTCAAAATACCACATAAAACACATTAGCCACTCAAGGCTAAGACCCTCGGGTCTATGTGTCTCAGTGGGACCCTCCAGTCCTACAGCTCGTTGGACCCTCTGGTCCGGTCTGGTTGGGACCCTCCAGTCTCATAGCCCGTTGGACCCTCCGGTCCGGTCACATAATATAGCATATATATCACACAGACAAAATACACAACTCCAGTAAGCACATAAGACCTTCCGGTGACACATAAATACCACTCTAGGTAAAGTATAGTGAGAAGACTCACCTGAAAAGTAGCAAGTAAATAACCCCGCACCCGAATCTCGAACTAGCCTCCGCCTAACACAAGGGATGAATATCTCTAATTAATACTCTTTTCACAATTCAAATAACCGAAGACTATTCTTTCTCTTTCTAACTCTTTGAAGTGGATAAAAGACCATTTTACCCCTCCATGGTCTTTATTACTTATGTTGACCAAAACCCCAAAGTCAACAGAAGTCAAACTTGAGTCAACAGTGTAACGCCCGTAGACCCGGGCTAGTCAATTTAGAGACGATAAGCGTCAAAAAATGACTTTTTGATGGAATATTATTTAGAATGAGTAATCTTAACTAAGTTTTAGTATATGTTACAAGGATTCCGTACATATAAAGAATGTCAAAATCCAAGTTATAACGAAGAAGTTATGACTTGTCGAAGTTTCGCGACCTAACTGACATGACGCTGAATGACGTAAAAAGTGAATTTACATTAGAGAAATATTTAGCCTTAGTGATCTAAACGAAAGTCGTAAATTACGTTAAACAGAGAGTGTGCATAAAAAGAACGCCCAAATCTGACCTCGTATGAGGAAGTTATAATTTTCCGAAGTTTCGACTTAGCGGTATGCAGCCCCAATACTCGAATACGAGATCAAGTGATTTTTAGCCTAAACAATCTAAACGGGAATCGAAGATCTCGTCGATAGTAGTCCAACGATAAAAAGACAGAAGAAAACGGAGTTCAGATTAAGGAGTTATGAATTTCGAACGGAGTTTTCCTGTCCCGCCCTACTAAAAATAATATATAAGTAATATATTTATAATATAGTAAAACTAAAGTCAAAAATAGCCAACGGAGTCTAAACGAGAGTTGTAGATCATAATCTCACCTTCGCGTCGATATAAAAAACGTCGAAAACGGAGTTCGTATGCGAAAGTTATGAATTTCAGAAGTTCATGGCGCGAAACCCCAAAACTGTCTAATACCACGACGTGGCAAGTCTTCTGACACCTCCTGGAGTCCCCCATACGCAACTTACAATGACGCATGCAGTGACGACCAAGCCCACGACATGACAATGGCAAATTTTTCCCTATAAATAGATTTGAAGGGCCAACCGATCATGGTTGCTCCATCCCTTCTCTCCTACTTCCGATACACCCTCTAAGGCCTATTTTAACCCCCCCCCCCCCCCCCCCCGAAGCCCCGATATCATCCCGCGACCTGAAGCAAGTCCCGAAGTCCGAAGATCCTGAGAAGAAAAGAGTTTCCGAGCCGAAGCTCTGCCCGCGAGAAACCCGGTGTGTGAAGTGATCCCGGTTTCACCGAAGAATACTACCATTGCAATGCGTAGTGCTGTCCGATCATCTTCAGATCAAGTAAGTGTATAGTTACTTTCTTCTAACACATTAATATTAAGTATTTTCTATGAAATATGTGTTATGTGTTTATATATATTGTTGTTTATATGTGTGAGTGTATAGTTACTTTCTTCTAACACATAAATATGAAGTATTTGCTTGAAATACATGCTATGTGTTTATGTACTGTTGTTTATTTGAGATAAGTACGGAATGGATGTTTTATATGGTTTTTAAATGAGTTAAATTGTATATGTATTTTATATCTACTAATATATTGGGTAGAACATGGGTAGATGAGATAGTCGGTATGTGATAAAATGATGAGGTAAATGATGAGGTATGTAAGATGATTAAAGAATAATATCGGTAGATGCACCAATTAGACAATGTCATAATACTAGCAGATGCGCTTAAGAATAATATTGGTAGATGCACCAATTAGACAATGTCATAATACTAGCAGATGCGCTTAAGAATAATATTGGTAGATGCACCAAATGGAGAATATCATAATACTAGCAGATGTGCTTATGGGATAATCCTCGAAGATGCACTTATAGGAAAATGTCGTTAGATGCGCCTAAAAGAGAATGTCATAAACATGACAGTCGCGTTTCATAGTGTATGACGTAATCCTGGTAGAGGCGCTTAAAGGATGATGTTGGTAGATGCGTCTTATGTAGCAATGGGTTTTGTGTCAATCCCTTAGGTCAATCCTTAGGAATGAATGAATGAATGAATGAATGATAGTTGAATTCATAGGGTAAAACCTTGAGAAATAAAGAAGATAATGGGGATGGCTAATTGGGTTGATTGTTTGATGGTTGGATATAATAATTATATTATTGTGGGTCGAAACCCTATATGCTCACCAGGCTCCCAAGCCTGACCCACTCAGTTTTCTTTGTATCACAGTTATCAATACGAAGACATATTTCACCGAGAGATTAAAAGAGATGTAACTCATTAGTGTAAATAAATGTAAGTTCTGTTTATGCTTATGTGTCTGTATCGGAACATGACATCCCGAGATTTTGTTATATAATGAAAATACATTTCTTTAAAGGAATGATTTGATAAATTCTTATCATATTTTGTTTTGGGAACAAATTCTGCAACTGTTTTCTTTAAAAGAGTACTATGATTTTAAAAACAAAGCATAAACAAATCGGTCTTTTCTGGCCATGAAATTGGGGATGTCACAAACAGTCCGCGACTGATCCGACTCGTCGAGTGCACTCTTGCGACTCGTCGAGTCCCTTCGTATCCTCATAAGTCTCAAAAAGTCTAGCTAAACTCGCCGAGTTGACCCCCAACTCACCGAGTTATCACTCAATCAACCCATCGGGAAAACCCTCACCGACTCGTCGAGTCAGGACATGGACTCGGCGAGTTCCTTCGATCAGATTCTTCATTCAAACGATTTAAGGCAGATCCATGACCCCAAACACTAGATCTACCATCCTAAGGGTCGGTTGTCACGTAAAGCTGCAAGCTTTACGTTTAAACATGGCATATAAGGCTCGAAATGCAATATAACTCTAACAAGGATGATTAACCACAATAACTCTTATATGGCTAAATAAAACTATAATCTTTGGACTCTTCGGACCTCACAAAGTCCAGATCGGAACTCTAGGCCTCAAAAGGGACCTTATGCATTCAAAGTCCCAACAATGGTGAAAGAAACCCTAATCTTCCATATTTACAATATCTAAGCAAAATAACAAGAAATGTTCAAGCTTTTACCTCTTACTCCAGCCCTTGCACAAAGTTACACTAGATCCACTGATTCTCTAGCTCTCTTGCTGGATAATCTCCTCTTCTCCCCAAGAGATGCACTAGACTACTCCAAGTTTTAGCTTCTAAAACTCTAATGGCTCTCTATACACGTTTAGGGTTTGCTCTTTAGTATAGGTAGCCGCAAATGAGGCTATAAGTGCCTTTAAATAGGTACCAAACCCCAAAAATTAGGGTTTCTCTACCCAGCACCTACTTGGCGAGTCAGTTTTCTAACTCATCAAGTTCACTCATTAAATCCATGCGAGCAACTCGACTCGACTCAGCGAGTTAGACCCTCAACTCGTTGAGTCTCTCCTCAAATCTCAAGATTAACATACACAATAATAACCCTAAAAATCTGGATGTTACAATTCTCCCCAACTTAAATTAGATTTCTCCCTAGAAATCGCTCATCAACAACATATAGATCGAATCCAATAACCGAACAGCACCACCGAAAGGTTCTCATACCACACAACTATCTTCTTCTCTTGACACCTGAATCCAAATAGGAACAC